CCAAACAGAGTAAGATATTGGTGGAAACACTGGTGATATTTAAATAAATTCTTTACTTTAGCTGATAGTATTTTACCAATGTTAATTTCTTAGTTTTGAAAAATGTACCATGGTTATTTAGAATGTTAATATTAGAGGTAGCTGGGTAAATTCTATTTAGGAACCCTCTGCACCATTTTAGCAACTGTTTTATAAATGTAACATTATTCCAAAATAAGAAACTAATAATTTAAGGGCCTCTGTTTGGTAAACAGTCTATAAAATCAAGTCTTCAACAATAATTTTTGTCTTTATGTGGTTGCTTCTCTTAATGTAATAGCACATGGATAATATATTAATGAAAATACCCACTCTTTTTTCTTTATTATCCATTATCAGATTTATTCCATAGTAATACTGAGTGCCAAAGTGGAAACACTTATGCTTTCCAACTTATACTTGACTCATTTTGACATTTTAATAGAAAATAACTGTAGTCACACAAAATGGGCATTACAGTCAGTGAGTGTGTCTCTGTATTTCCATGAATATCACAAGGCTTCATTTGACATCATTATGGTTCCTAAGCTATGAGCAATGAAGTGCGAAGTATACAGGGGAAAGCATTCTTCTGTAGGAACAAACAGAAACTGTCTTACCAGGGATCTGGTCTCAGTGCCATTCAGAGAGAGTCTTCCGACTTCAACTAGGATTCTAAATCCGTTAATAAAAAGGAGATAAATATTGAAAACCTCTATACATCCCAATTTGCAAATGATACTTTATCTGTTCCAATTCCTCAAATTTCTATTCCAATTCATGTAACTTGTTTTCACCTAATATTACTACTAATACCACTATATCCACTACCAACCACCACCATTTCTGCTAATAGTAACAAAATCTAAAAGTATCTGTCTTGGTCAGCTTGGGCTGCCATGACAAAATACCATAGACTAAGTAGCTTAAACAACAGACACTTATTTTCTCATAGTTCCGGAGGTTATAAGTCCAAAATCAAGATGCCAGCATGGTCAGGTTCTTGAGAGAGCCATCTTCCCATCTTGCAGCTGGCCACCAGCTCACTGTGCGCTCACATGGCTTCTTTTGTGTGTGTGGAAGCACAGGGAAAGAGAGAGCAAACTCTGTGGGATTTCTTCTTACAAGAGCACTTATCCCATGCTGAGGGCCCCACCCTCGTGACCTCATCTAACCCTGATCACACTCCAGAGGCCCCATCTCCAATACCATCACATTGGGCGGGGCGAGGAATCCAACATGAGAGTTTAGGAGGGGCACAATTTAATCCATAGCAGTGTTCAAAACCCAAGAGTTCCAGAAAATAATGTGAGGACTATGCTTCAAATACATATTCTAGATACTTTCTGTGAGCTATCTTATTAAATCCTCAAATAGCAACTTCATGAGGTCTATTGATCTGAATTTATAGAAAAAGAAGTTAGGTCTTAGAGAAGTTAAAATAACTTCTGCAAGACAAGGCATTTAAAACATAGCAGAATGTGCACTGAAAATCAAGATGTTCTGGCTAAAAAACTATATTCTGTATTCTTAGTAATTACAATAGAATACTCTGAATTCCAATACAAATGTGTGGGATTTATACTAATGACTGAGTGAAATGATTCATCCTGGGCAAAAATTAATTCACCTGCTTTGGGAAGGAGTAATTTTAGGAAGAAAATAAACTGATGCATTTTTTTCTGTGTTTTTCAGCTGCATATTAATAAATGTAAATAGCCATATTGGTTAAGAATATCCATTGTGAAATTAACAGGAACTCACTTGTATTCAACAAGAGTATTTAAAAAGTTTGTCAATAGTATATATAACATAATTCCCATAATTATTGGAATTACTTGAAACCTTTAGAAATATGATTTTTACAATATAAGTAAATATCCATAATGGCTATGGATGTGCTGAACAAAGAGTATTTTATCCTCTAAGAGTATTGTCTGTTTTGCATTGTACTACTGTCATGATTCCTCTGTAGTTACAAAGCCATGAGCTTTGTATATTTTATTTCTATTCACTGTCACAACAATCTTATGATATAGGCATTATTTTCCACAAGCTAAGAGAAGGATCCATGCTCAGGGGGTTCAGTGACTTGCCCAGAGTGACATGGCTCTCACAAGGGACAGAGCTGGAATTCCAAGTCCACTTTTCCTGGTGCAACAGTCCAAGTTTCAGAGATCATCAATATATTTATTTTTACTTTTTAAAATTCTTATATTGTGCTCTAATTGTTCTGGCTACAGAATAGTTGGATCTGAATTTTGTTAGAATTGTCATTAGTTAAAAAAAAAAGTGTCCTTACATATGATTTTGTAATGTGTGGCCAAATGCACCTACTTTGTAATTTAAAGGAGCTTGGGAGAGGAACTGACTGTGTGAAGAACCTACTGTGCACTAAGATGTGGGCCCATCTTGGTGACTCTTCCCTCTATCCATTGAGGTACCCTTCTCCATGAGACATTAAATATTTTGTCTAAGGTTGCGCAGCTAGTAAATGGCAAAGCCATGATGTAAACCCAGATGTTGGATGAGGTCATTGTGAGGAGACCACCACCAGTTTTCTGAGAGCTGGACCTCACCCTCCCCCATCCTTGGAAGGTACCTTCCACCTACTCTGCCTGTAGGCAGAGCTGTTTCAAGCACAAGGTCTTGAGAGAGCAATGTGTTGTTGAGATCATCTGGACTGAATGGGACTGAACCCCGTTAAGGCTTCTCCATGAACTTTTAAGATACGGCAGGGGTGGGGGGGTGTGTTTCTGAGATGTACGTGTCTTGTGGTTGCCCAAGACAAGTCTTGTATGTGAGTTCCCTTGCTCATTAAACTTGCCACCTTCCAACCTGGGGTGGCCTGCCTCATTTTTGGGTATCTCCTTGCCCTCTATGTAAAGGGACCAATTTCAGATTTCACCCAGGGAACTCCCAAATTTGCAAACTAATGCAAAGTTTTATTCATTTTCCACTGTACCAAACTTCCTTTTCTTATATGTTTGCATTTTCAAAATTTATTACCTTAAATTTATTTAAAATATAAATACCTTTTTAAAGTTTAAAAAGCAGAATCGATAACGCTAAATAAACCCACGTAGAATTGAGTTAAAGCCAAACAAACCACATGCTGATATTATATCATAATCAGTATTCACATGTGTTTTTAATAGTATTTTACTGTAGGAGTGGAGATCAGTAAGGGGCCAGCAAGTAAATAACTAACTAGAACACAATGTGCTAAACACAAATGTGTAGGAAGAACACCAGCAGACCTGAGGGGGTAATTTAACACCTTATTTCCAGGTGTGTGGTTAGAAATCATATCGCGGAGAAGGTGCATCTCAATCCAGGTAGAGAAAGAGAAACACACAGACGTGAGCCAGAGCATCTTTCAGATGCTTTTTGAAGCTAATAAGAAGCTAAGAAAGGCATCAAGTGTAAAGTGAAAGTGTGTGCATTGTTAATCTGTTTATTCTGTTTTTATGAGAGGTCTTCTACGTAATTATCCAAAGAGTGTCTTTTAACATGGGAAACACTGTCTTCTAGTGAGTAACGAACAATGAACGCTCCAAAGAAATTATATTATCTGGCCAGTATTAATGGAAAGAAGGAAGGAAGGGAGGGAGGGAGGGAGGGAGGGAGGGAGGGAGGAAGGAAGAAAAAGAAAGAAAAGAAAGGAAAGAGAGAAAGAGAGAAAGAAAGAAAGAAAGAAAGAAAGAAA